AATTTTCGTAGTTTTCGCGTAATATTGCGTGCAATATGTGCATTTTATAAAAATAACCAAACTAAGGTTTCGCCTCCAATTTTTTCTTTAAACTTTTGGTAAGGATAGTGCTAAATGCTTTCTACAAGATGAATCGTAATATTGCTATATTTTTTTGTTGTTTTTTTCAAAAAGTACGAAAATATCTTCTTTTTTTGAAATTTTCCCACGTCTTTAATATTTACGGCGATTTCTTTATACTATTGCATTTCCATGTACATGTTCTTTAAGTTGTCTAATGAACTTTCTGGAAAACTCAAATCTTTTCTGTGGAAACGAGCTCAAATTTCCTCCGATTCAGAAAATTTCAAATATTTTCTCAAAAACCATTTCAATTTTTGGCGGATAATGCTAATTGCACTTCAAGATGACAAAATAATTTTTTCAGTATACTTTTGTTTTTTTTCAATAAACACACAAATGAATTTTTTTATCTCGCATGCCATTAATATGCACATTTTCAGCACGCTATATATGTTATTTCACTAAAGAGTGGTAGTGCTTCAAATTAAGTTTATCGAAAATTAAAACAATTTTTGTGATAAAGAGTTTCGTATTTTGCATTTACAATAAAGCTTAAACACAATTTTATTAGAAGCAGCTTCAAATGTTTTATTTAAAATTGCCATTTAGAACATAGTTCTACTCTTCTTGCATATATTCTTGAAGTAATATTTCATTTCTTCTCTTCAGAAACCTAAAAATTGGGAAAATAAAAAATAGTATTTTGAGCTATGATAGATATCAGTCGGCAAGAGTATGTGGCAAGTCAGAATAGTTAACCCAGACCATCGAAAATATAACACTAATGCGTGAAAGTCTGTGCCATTCCGTAGCACCACTAGTTACTTTCTCGTATACGTACGTATATACGAAGTAATATATTTAGTATAGAGAAAGTTTAGAATTGATGCGGAAAATTAATTTCGGGATTACAACGGACATAATTTTGGCGTCCTCTGAAAGCGAAAAAGTTTGTTTTTTCTAAACATCCGTACACCACTAGTGTGGGTAGAATTTTTTCCAAATTAAAGAAACTCTTATCCATCTGGCTTGAGTCAAAGCTTCGCGATTTTCAAAAAGGTTCTGTAATATTTGGGGTACTTTATTATATGAAGCCCCAGGGATATTTTCAAAATTTTCTCGAAAACGGCTCCAAATTTTTTGTACGAATTGAGTAACACACGCTTATTAAAGGTTGCAATGGCCCGATTTTCACAGTTAACTCTGAATTTTCGAAGTTGAAAAATTTTGATTTTTTTCGGTAACACACATACAACTATTAAATTGAAGATACAGATTTTTCCTTCAAATGAAATTCGTTGTCCGTAATTAGTTCTCCTAGTGTCATGTCCACTTTAAAAAAGTTCGCGCAATACTGCGAGCAATATGTGCAATTTTAAAAAATAACAAAAGCAAGTTTTTCTTATAAACGGCTCCAATAATTTTCTTTAAACTTTTTGTACTAAACACCATATTGTTCCATGCTTAGGTTTTTTTCAAAAAATACAAATAATGCCATATACTTTTTAGAAAACCCAACCGTTTTCTTTTAAAATAAACTCAAAATTCAGCATTTTCAGACATTCAAACGCCATTTTTGAGAAAATGGCTTCTATTTTTTCATTTTTTTTTTTGAACATGTATTTTTTTTCGTAATTGCACTGTTAAAATGATATACACTTCAATTTCATCTATTCTTTTAGCTTTTCAAAAATTACACAAATGTATTTTTGATATATCTTTTAAGCCTTTAATATGCTTATTTCCAGCTATTTGTTAACACTGTTGCATTGTGAGTTAAAGTGCCTCAAATTACTTTTAATAAAAATTTTCGGTATCTCAAAACGTGTCTGTGCAATAGATTTTCAAATTTCGTATTTCAAGTAATGCTTAAACGCCGTTTTCTTAAAAATGACCACATTTTTCGTTGAAAATTGCCATTTATGATGAGGTAATACTCTTCTTTAATATTATTGAAGTATTACTTCGGTTCTATTGTTAGAAAACTGAAAAATTGAGAAAATGTTTTAAAAAATGTACTTTGGGCGGTGATAGATGGTAAGAGGATGGGGCAAGTCCGTAACGCCGGCCCCCATCAAGGAAATAAAACGTTACTACAAGAAAGTCGGTGCCATTTTGTAGTACCACTACCTTATACCTTACAAACTGAAAATAATTTAACATAAACGTTTAGAAAAGTATTGCTATGTATTGTTAAATTCGTGAAGAATTAGTTCTGAAATATATAACAATTTCCATCAATTATTTTGCAATTTATTTTGGGGTTCGGCGTTGGCACCTCTCTGGGTACCGAAATGCGACGATTAACAAATGACGCACTGACCTGGCATAACGATTCCTTTACACTAACAAGGCTTGCTGCATGGGATGTTAAGGGTCCATCTGCAACTCTTGTACCCCTTGAGAGGTTTGGTGATGCTGTGGCGTGCCACGATGATCTGCGAAAGGAAATACTGAGAAGTAGGATGGAAAGTAACTTAACCTCTAAAATACTTTCAAGAAAAACAATATTGAGTTTATACAATACAAGTTTTCCCATGTTATTACACCTCACTTTCTTCATCAGGTAGGTAATCTGACATGTACATTGCTTGATGTCGTTAATTTCAATGAGAACGCTTTAAAACCACTAATTTTAGAGAAAGTACGTAGTACATCCCAAATGTAAATAATAGTATACTATTTGATTCTTTCCATATTTTTCTTTAAGGTGTTCTAGACACACATTTTAAACTCGTTACATGCTTAGGATAGTTTCCTCGGCGTATTATATGAAAAATATATTTAATTTTTTTCTGATACGTTATTGCCTTCGATACGGAGCTCGACAATTCACTTCATAACGTTTCTGGATTCAAAGGATCGTGGTGACGAAGGATATATAAAAACAGTTGAATGTTGCTACATGTACTCTTACGGACTGAATTATGACAGAGAAATATGAAATGACAAAGATGATGTTATGAGTTTTCACACATAAACAGTATTTTGATGTATTGTTTTGGTTTTTCAAAAATTATGCAAATGTATTGTTACGCTGTATATTACATTTGAGGTTCTTATATTTACATTAGACATGTAACATGTTCATTATTACATTGTACAAGTGCTTCAAATGATTTTTATGAAGTTTCTGAAAAACTAAAATCTTTTCCGTGAATGTTCAAAGCTGTCCATTTTCGGAACTGTTCAAACGTTATTGCCTCAAAAATTACTCCATATTTTCTAATGAAAATTTGCGAATTAGTTTTACTTTTCTATGATATTCGTTAAGTCATATATCTATTCTACAGTTAGGAAACCAAACAATTGAATAAATATAAGTTATTTTTGACAAAATACTTTTCCTCAATTTTACATGAACCTAACCCAAATACTGTTACGAGTCATAAATATTATGCACTACAACATGTTTGTAGAGTTTGTAAGTTATGAGGAAATAATTCATTACTGATTGACATGTTTATAGATTTTCACGCTAAAGTACCATTATTTGCTGTGTTGCTAAGGTCCATTTTAGACATATTATTAGTTTTATGAAATAATTGTCACAAAACACTAACATGTATACAAATATTACTATCGCATATTATAATGCATAGCGAGTGATGCAAGGGTTGTAAGGTCAAGTGCGAGTGATCAAAGGGTGCGATGAATTGGATTCCTACCTCCAGATCAATGGTTTTAGCAAGGGGTTCCACCGGCAAATATGTACAGGTATAGGGCCAATGGGGACAGCGCCGTGCTGTTCACGGTACTCACTCCAGAGAAGCGTTTTCCTAGCGGCCCTCGTGGACTGCTAGGCACCGATTGTTAGCAGCTGGGAGGAGGGTAAGGCATAAGCTAGCCAAGACACGAAGAATACTATACTAAGTAGTACGAGAGTTTGTGCCATTCTGTGATTTTTTATCAGTTTTTTGTGCTCAATAGTTTTCTTTTTCAACAATACAAACGTTCATGTTAATTTATTTCCAGCTTGATAGTAAAATTTACATTATTTTATTGTGTTCTTAATTGGAATTTGTGGAAGCATGATCTCATATACAAATTTTCTTCTGTAGTTCTTTACCAATTGCACATTCTGAATAAACCGCGATGCACTGAGTTACTCATAATCTTATTTTTTGTTAATTGCAACGCATTTAGATATGATTTTGCTGTTTTCTTCTCAAACTGGTACAGACGTGTGGCTTAGGGTGAAGTGCTTGCCTTTCATCAAGAAGGGCCGGGTTCGATTCCTTGACAATCTCATGACTTTAATTTGGACAAAGCGAGTTTGCCTGCTTCACAAGGGCTAGTCCAACCCCTGTGATCTGTCCTAAACCTTACCCCTATCCTAATTCCTTCCCAATTCTGTCTGCTAGATAGTGGCGCAGGAGCGCGTGTGAGAGAGGCGTGTACGCGGAGATTCTACCTGGCCGTCATCTTGACAACTAGTACGACTTGCGGACAGTGGATACTAGTATAGTTAACGGAGGATTACTTCAGAAAGATGTTCTAGGCCAAGTTCTTGGTATAAGAAAGAAAGGTGACAGAATTAAAGAAAGAAACTCACTGATGCTTGCTTTTTCCTCCAATCAACTTACTTCTGCGTGGGTCCAAATCTGCCTCTCGGCGCAGAGCGGCGCCGCTGTCCTCGCCGTCCCGCCCCCCGCGCCGCGGCAGGGAGAACACCACGCAGTGCAGCGGGGGCGCTGCGGACCCCTGCGCCGACCTCTCGCGAGGCTGCTGCTGCTGCGACAGCGCACCCCTCTCAACGCCCCCCTGCCGCTGCAGAGGGCGAACGGGCGCCCCGGAAGGCTGGGGAACGTCTCTACCCTCCGAGGAACTCCAGTACAGGCGGTTTGTGGCGAGTTTGTTGGTCTGAGGTAATTCAATGATTTTCGGAGAATTCTTTGGGGTTGATTGGGACGAAGGTTTGGTTATCAAAACAGAAGTTTGCTTTAGATGTTTAGTAGATTCCATTGAAGCCTGCTGGGTGGTAGCCACTTTACACATTTCTTTTGGACAAAGTTCACGGGGTAGCTGTGGAGATTTTGTGGGCATTGTAGGTTGCTGGAGAGCAACCCCTGAATGTTGACATGGTTGATGTAAATGCAGTGGCATCAATCCTGTAAGATTGTGCGCATACTTTGAGGTTCCTTCTGAACACTGCCCTAAATCGTTTAGGGTCACCTCACGTACCTGCTGTGAAGACATTGAGGACACAGTAGGGAGTTTCAAAGACTGCTGATACACTGAAGACGGATGTAAAGATGCTGACGATGCAGAATGCTTCTGAGAATTCTCAGAAGTGAGTATGTAAAGTTGCTGAGAAGCATTGGAAAATTGTTCTCGTGGCTGATGAGATGTCTTTGTTTGGGTTTGCTGGGAAGTATTTGCAATCAACGTAAGTGGTTGGCGCAATGAAGTACCAGAGCAATTAGTATGTGGCGAAGAGTTTGAATGTAATACATAAGGCTGTTGTGAATGCTTCTGGCACAAACCGCCATGTTTGGGGGAGGGCATTAGTGTCCTTCCCGAAGTCGGTGGCAATGATTTCGAGGAATGCTCGTACGATGTGTTTGAATACAATCCACTAGGCGGCTGAAGAGTTTTCGAAGACATTACGCTTTGTGAATTTAAGTTGTTTGAAGACAACTCCGATGATTGTTTCAAACCGCGTGTATTCAACATTAATATTTGCATTGATGTCGGTTTACAGGAATCTGAACACAACTCGGTCAGTTTTGTAGCGTTTGGAAAAGATTTATGAAAAGCTTGTGAAGATTCTAAAAGCACAGAACACTGCTGCGATGGTTTTGGAGACAATCCAGGAGGATGTTGCAAATCATTTGAATATTGCTGGGACGTTAAGAGCACAGAATGTTTTCGCGGCATTTTGGCGGTCGGTTCAGATGACCTCTCAGAAGTATGTAGTTGCAGCGTCTGGCCCAACATGTTTGTCGTGGGGTGATTGTTGTTCTGAGAATGCGCTGTTGACATTTTACATACTACTTGGGGAGAATTTGTGGATAATGCAGATGTATACGACAAAGGTTTAATTATCAATCCAGATTGTTTTAAATGCTCACATGGCGCTGTTGGAGTCTGACGCAAAGAGTTTAGGTTCACTTGACGGATCTGGGTAGGCCCTGAAGATAATTCACCTGGCTGATGTAAAGATTTTGGGGGCACTGTAGGTATCTGTGGAGAAGTGTGATAAGATTTTTGTGAATTTTCAGTAGAAAGCTGATGTGTCTCTGCTGAAGGCAGTGCTGTAGGTACAATTGAGGGGCAAGATGCGTAAATTGAAGGTTTTGATATGCACACAGGATGATGCTGAGAAAACTTGACGGTCAATGGAGGTTTCAGTACAGACTTTGAAGCCAGAGCAGGTGACTGTGAAGGTGTTTGGGATGTGCTGATTACGTTCTGACTAACATCCCACAGTACCACAGGAATGTGAGATATGCCTCTAAAAACAGAATTGGGTGTTGATTCTGAGTTTTGATTTTGTAGAGAATTACCAATAATCAACACATTACTCCTATTTGGAGCATCATCAACAGAATGTTTTGTTTGAGGTTGAATGTTTCTCTGGACAATATAGTTTCTTACAGACCCATCAGAAAAAGTAAGTGGCAGCAAGATTGGTGCTGAAAAGTCTGACTTGCTTATTGGAACCTGTAGAAAAACAAAGTATAGATTATATACCATCAAGACATGTTCAATAAAAATGCAATGGCAAAGCACTTAATACAAACTATTCAGGGAGTTGAGAATTTTTTAGAATGAAAAAAGTACAAATAAGACACGAAAGTATCCTCTTTGACTTTTTCTATATTTTTTTGTCATGAAGCGATTGTATTTTTTTGTTTTGTTTATACCCTATCTCCTCCCATAACGAAAAGATAAGGGGCGACTTACTCCGGAGCACCGATTTTTGCTCGTTTGCTCGTCTGTGTATCAATTCACCAATTTGCGTCGCGACCCACGTGTCCACAGCACAGGCACTTTGTTTGAAAAGCCAGACCGGCCGCTGGCCGACATGTTGCATGGAGACCGAAAAGTGGTGCAGAGTGACAATTTTCAACGGTAACCAACCACAAATACTCGATGGAGAGTACGAGATGCAATATTTAAATGAAATGCTTCATAAATCAGTTTCAATGTCTTGTAACGAGATGAAAATTTTGACATCTAGTTGCATTTAAAATTCCCGCTAATATTGCGACACAAAATTGTCTAAAGCTCATTGGCTGAAGTTGGATAAAAATGCGCAAAAACTCCTCCCCCCGTCTCATCCAATATATACGAATTGTGAGAGACATGTGCCAAAGTGACAAGTATTTTCATTAAATTGATTTTTAATGAAATATTCTCCTTCAAATATTTATGTAGTTTGACTTCATTTAGTTATTTCATTATGTATTTTTGGCAATTTAGAGAATAGTG